TTTCCCTTTGAGTTCCACTCCTAGAGACTAAATAACTCTCCGGTGCCCAGGTTTAGCTTGTTTTCCTATGAGAAATGTTTAATAAAAAGGCTCATCTCAGCAGAGGCATTGCCTCCTGAGTCACTGCAGTCCATAGTGACTGGCTTTGAGCTTCATCTGGTGGTGAGTTTTCCTGCCTTCCCCCTCCAAAGCAGGAAGGATAGCTCTCCTGCTATCTGACTGATTTTCTAACATACAGGAGAGCAACTCTGTCTTCTTTATTCACTGTCTTATTATTTAGGGACATTGTCTGTCACTAGAGTCGTGGGGATTTATAAGCCACACAGACAACAAAGTACAGCTTTGGGGTCCCTGTCTGTTCTGGGATCTTCTTGGCTGCAGCAGGTTGGAGCACACTCGGCTGGTTTGCCCTTATTAAACCGTGAAGGTCACTTCTCTTCCAGCGTCTATAATTGGCGAGCCCTCACTTTCCTTCCACAAATGTGTCTCTTCCAGAGCCTTTTGCAATTAAAGCTTATTTCTCTAGGTTTCATATGGCAGGCGTCTGAACGGAATTAAAAGCACAAGCACGTGCAAAAATAATCCGCTTCCCAAGATAGTAACTGCTGAGAAGATCTATATTAGAACACACAGTGAGTGCTGACTGGCTAGGGCATGATTAACCTAATAGGCTTAAAGCTCCACTTGCATTTACATCTGTCAGGACACGAGCAAAACACAGGCCCATAATCCCAGAGACTGAGGTCCTTTAGAATTGTCCCGCTGCTCACTAAACAGCAGAAGGTTCAAAACTTAGAAGGATAACAGGACAACAAGCACCACTCCCTCTTTTCAGTGCAACCAAGGAAGTAAAGAAAGCTGCCTCCAAGTTCAAGACCTCCTGCCATGAACTTCAAAGGAACCTGGTCTGGAATTGCCTGGAAGGACTAGTTTTGTTCCTATCTTCAAAATGATTCTCTGAAAATTTGGAAGGCTGTGGGTGCAAGGCCAGCTGCAGTCATGGGATGTACACCTTCACACAGCGACATTGTGAACAACCTGACAAAAAGTGGTGTCCAGTTTTTTAAAAAGCCCACAGTTATTTTGCCAGGATGTCACAGGCGCAGTGGAAGAGGGTCCATCCCTTTGCTGGTTCAGTGTTCTACCTGCTATGACACTTGGGGGGGCCTGCCCCAGGGACAGAGGCCAGCAGAGGAGCAGCTGAGTTCCAGGAAGTCCCAAACCACAGCTGAAGGTCTTGGTCAGCCCCTGGGAGATATGGAAGGACTGATCTCAGAAACCAGAACCTCTCCATCCTGGCTGAACAAACCACAAAGCCACACTCCGTTCCAGACAAAAGGTACCCATGGGACACAAGGGGCAGCCTTTCCCAGGGAAGAGAGTATGGAGAGTACTACGCAGGAGACCTCCAGGTGGGAAAGGAAGCCAAAATGCTATTGCTCAAGCAAACAGGGACATTGCAGCCAAACTATCCTCCCTACTCCTGAATCAGAAGGCAAAGTGGACTTTCCTGAACCCCTGGTCAAGGCCCACCAGCATGCTTACACCTACCTGCACGCCAGCCTCTCCAAGTATGAAGCAATCCTGCACCTGGTCCAGCAGGCCAGCCAGACCCAGGGACTGCTGCAGCCCATGCTCAGCTTCCTGCTGCTGTGCTTTGAGGAGGTGGGCCAGCTCCTTGGGGAGATCTCCAAGGATGGAGAAGTGCTCCTCCAGGAAGTTAGGGAGGATCTGGCATGGCCATTGAAGAAAGGAGAGCCCCAGGAGCAGCCAGATCTCTTGCAACAGCTGCTGCAGTACACGGTCAGCAAGCTACAGGTGCTCCACGGCATGGTGGCTGCCCTCACCGGGAGCTTCCTGGAGAGTTCCAGCAGCTATTTCCACTCCACGGCAAGCCGCTTGGAAAATCAGCTGAGCACAAAGAGGAGTGTGGATGAACGCCTCCTAAGGGCTCTGAGGCAACTGGAGAGCCTGGCAAGTGGCCATGGAGACCCTGGGCTGCAGGATCTACCCTTGTGCTCCGAGGACAGTGGCATTGGGGCCGACAATGAGTCCGTGAAATCTATGGATAAGCTGGGTAAGCAGGCCAGCTGGAACGTTGTCCCGGAGGCTACAGAGTTGAAGCCAGGGATCTCACCCCAGACGGAGGCCCGGCAATCAGGACGTGCCTGGCAGCAAAGTGCATTCTGGATGGGTTCGGACCGACCCCAGGACTGTCCAAGGCCTCCCATTGCAAAAGTGCATCCAACCTCACAGGGCAAAGTAAGGAGCCCAGGCCCCCACAGCACTGGCCCAGAAACTCTGACCTCCAGGCCTTCAGAGGCAAGCAAGAGTGCTTGGTGTGACTCCCTGGGGACTGGGATCCCTGTGGAAGTACAGCTTCCTAAAAGCTCCAGGTCTGGAGAGGTTCTACCCCTTAGTGAAAGTGAGAACAGCAGCCCAGACGAGGAGGAAGATGAAGTTAGCAACATGAGTCCATGTGCAGGGCTGGAAAACGTGTCACCTGCAAGGCCACAAACTTCACCTGCAGACTGGGAAAGCTCGTTTCAGTCACACACCAGGAAGCTCAGGAGCCCCCAGGCCCAGGAAATGATTCTGAAGATGAAGAAAGCCATCAGTGAAAGGATCAAGTTTGTCCCTGCACCTTTGGCGCACCAGGACTGGTCTGAGGAGGAGGAGGGGAGGACTGTGGTCCCACGGAGACCTAGCACGGTCAGTGGCAGCAGGAGGACCCCCGAGAGGCAGCAGAGGTCCCAGTCCGAGACATGCCTTAAGAGCCATGTGGAGGACCCCACCCTCCAGGAGCTGCGAAGGGTCCAAAAAGACCTCAGTCAGAGACTGGAGGCATTTTATGCCCAGGGACCCAAAAGGCAAGGACAGAGAAAGGAGCAAATTGTGCGGTCCAGGGGAGCAGCGATATGGCCCAACAGCAACTGCAGGGTGAGCCCCAGCAACAGTACCATCAGCAAGCTCAAGGCATCCCTTACCAAGAATTTCAGCATCTTGCCTAGTCAGGACAAGAGCATTTTGCAGAAATGCGGTCCCCTCTCTGAGGGCGAACAGCCCTGGCAGAAGAGAGCCGAGCTGCTACCAAACGCCATTCCACCTGGTGAGAAGGACGAGACTCCTAGGGCCAAGGACTGCTCCGTCAGGGGCTCTCCCACCAGAACATCCGTCAAGAAACTCATTGAAACTTTCAGTCCCACTGAGAGTGTGAAGACACTCGGAGACTCCAGGAACTCGGGGTCAAGCCCCTGCCTCAGGAAGTGGGGAGTCCCCATCATGCCCCCCAGACTTCCCATTTACAGGGGCCTTGCTCCTATGTATACCAAGCCCCAAATTTCTCCAACAGGGAGCAGAGAATGTCTCAAGGTGGACACAGGCTGGAGACCTGTAGCACCGATATTTCCCCCTCTGCCTACAGCAGAAACATTCAAGAATGAGGATATCCGCTGTGAAGTAGAGGGGGACCCAGAGCACCTGCCTCCACCACCTCTGGAAGTCCTGATGGACAACTCATTCACTTCTCTGGAGAATCCAGAAAGCAGAAAGTCAACAGGCAGCTCCCCTGAAGGGTCCCCAGTACCAGGGCTGGGACGGGCTGGCCCTACCAGAAGAACGTGGGCTTCCCCAAAGCTGAGAGCTTCCATGAGCCCCATTGACCTGCTGCCCAGCAAGAGCACTGCCAGCCCCACCAGGCTGTGCAGCACAGGGCCAGGAAGCAGCAAGAATGGCAGCAATCCCAGGAAGCCTGTCCAGGATCCGAACCTCCCTTCTGCAGCCAGCCCCAACCCAGAGGCGGAGGGCGGGGCTCACAGTCAGGCCCAGGCAGAGAAGGCCACAAGCTTCTCCAAGCACCACCGGAAGGCAGTTCCCTGGCACCACGCCAGCCCCACCTCTGGGCAAAGCAGGACTTCAGAACCGAGCCTGGCCAGACTCACACGTGGTCCGCACTCTCCTGAGGCCTCCAGGCAGAGCCGAGAGAGAAGCCCCCCAGTAGTCAGGAAGAGCTCTCCCACCAGGGCACACTGGGCACCCCAAGTAGACAGGAAGCAGCGGGGTCTACCCTCATCTCCTGGACCTGCTCAGCCAAGCACTGTGCTCAGCTCCTCCAGTCCACCACTTAGCCCCGCAGCTCCCAGCCCAACAGCAAGCCTTGGGATCCTAAGCCCACCAAACACAAAGAAGCGAACTTCCTCGCCACCCCAGCACAAGCTGCCCAGCCCACCCCTGGGGAGCCCGCCTGCACAGCCCAAGGTCTCCAGTCCTGCCCAGCACACGGAAGCAAGCCCCCCTTCCTCTGTGCCCTCCCCATCCCCCCCAGGGTCCCCCTCTCAGGGATGCAAAGAGACCAGAGACTCGGAAGGCAATCAAGCCCCTGCAGCCAAAGCATCCCGGAACACATGTTCCATATTCTGCCCTGCCACCTCCTCTCTGTTTGAAGCTAAATCACCATCCTTGACAGCCCACCTGCAGACCTCCACATCACTGCCACCAGAACCCGGGGGCGCTCTTGGGACCCCAGCAGGATGCTGGAGAAGCAGCTTGGAGCCTCGACTGAAGGCAGATTCACAGAGGAGAATGGCTCTATGTGCCCTCAACCCTCTGCCTTTCGTCAAAAGGACAGCTCCTGCCTGCCACCCTGGTGTCCGGATTCAGCTGCCTGGCTCCAGCTCCACTGGCTCCTCTTGGGAACCCCAGCTTGACCAGAGCAGGTAAGGAGTGAGCTCGGTCACTGCCCTTCCCTGGAGAAAAAGCAGAGGCAGTGGGCC